CGTGCATGGTGGAGATTATAATGTAAATACCTATGGGGTTTATAATGCCAGGTGTAGGTGTGACTTATTATTTATTGCTTAAGTTTTTTTATTGTAAATATAGTATGAACGTGTTTCAAATTTGACAGCAAAACGAAAGGATCTTGGTTTGAGTTGTCTCGATATAGTAGGTGTGGTTTTTTTTGAGTTTATGATTGTGAAGTAATACGGTAATGACCAAGGACGTTGAATTTGGAATTATTAAACTTATCATTTGGCAAAAAGTACGTAATGGTTGTTGAAGTATTTTTTTCTTGCCATCTATGTACAGTCGTGTCCTCTATTTAATGACCAGCTATTTTGAAGATGATAGATTTTTCAACAAATTCAATTCAAGCTTGTTGTTCTACATAGGTACATACATAAATTTAAGACTGCCTCCCATGTTATTCTACATACTGTTTTGAAATTGGTGTTCAATAGAAAACGTATATCTGAAATAAACTCGTCTCGATTACTGAATCTAAAACGCTATCATAGTTTCCGAACAATTCATACTTTATCAATCACAAAGTTAGACACTAAAAATGGCAATCGTACTAAACTTGGTCAGTGAGTATTTTAATAGATACAGTTTTACTATTCGTTCTAATATTTATAGTCGAATGCATAAAATTTATACTGCATCGATCCCATATTGAGGACATACTAATTTATTTATTTATTTATTTATTTAGAAAATGTACATGTACAACACCACAGCTTACGCCATTAAGTTATACTGTTAAACTTATATATATAAATGCTATTATTTAGATAATTAAAACAAACTAATTCAACTAAATTCAAAAACAAAAGTAACAAAAAATGATTTTTTAATATAACGTAAAGTACTATCGCTCAATTTTTACTAGACCCTTAAATCAAAATAAGAACTACAAAATTAAATCCACAAGAAAAGTCAATACATCCAAGAAACGAGGTCAAACTAACACTAAACTTGAAATCGCTGTAACAACACAACATTCAAACCATAACAAATAAAAACAGGAATAAATAACATAAAAACAAAACATAATTCCGGCCAAGTACTTCCTTTGCTGCTAATCTCTCATCGTTTATACCGTAACACCATTTATAAGGCTATTCCTGCTTCCTGTTTGTACAAACTCGGTGACTAGCCCTTAGAAGGGATACATGAGGATAAAATAAATCTTAAACCTAATACTTCTTGATAGGTATAATTATTGTGTAGTTAGATACATTATTTTTATTACTTTAGCCCTTATTACATGGGACTCATAACATACAACTGGTATAAGTGTTAGTTCAATCTGTAATGTAATATTACGTTTCATATTGTTTTACTCCTTGCTAATACAAAACGGTAGGCGCTATTTTGTACGATACGGTTATTATAAGTGAAATTAATTGAGTTTACCCAAAGTCAAACATCGTTATTGAGAAACTGCAATAATAACGGAATTGTTTTCTTTTATTAGTGTGCGGTAGCCAAGGGACTCGATTTGAGATTTTGTTCTGTATTTTTTGAACATAAAATATTATTGAGTTTTTATAATAACTATCGTGATATATACTAAATTAACTAAAAATCACGGGTTACGCGAATATACTGAGAGAAGCTCTACTAGTTTCGAACCACAGAGAGCGGTCGCGGCAATGTCGCGCAGCCTACTGACAGTAGACAGTCGTGACCGCGCACGCTGCTAATGAGGAAGAACCCCTCTGTGGTTCGAAACTAGTAGAGCTTTTCTCAGTATATTTACGTAACCCGCGATTTTTAGTTAACTATTGAGTTTTTTAGCAAGCCGGCTTTAAAATAAATCAGAGTACGTATTTTTCCAGAAATGTCAGATTGCCTATTAAATACCAGTTCAGTAATAGATAAATAAAAGTCGTAAAAGATAATCAAGTGACTTTCCACACAGAACACTAACTTATGTAATCGAATTTTGTCGAACAATAGATTGATTACCAAACTGTGTGTCCCTTCTCTTCGTAGAAACCGATCCAATGTTTATGAACATATACACACACTTGTACATTTCAAAGAACACAATCATAGTAAACAAACGTATATTCCTTTAGTAAATAATAACCTTTACGTAACAAGACAAAGATTATTCATATTTGTTTCTTTATATTTCTTTAATACATTATCTTTCTGACCCTGATCAAAGTCAGGTTGTAAATAACCTTCGGCCGAAGACTGGTAGTCCGTAAAGAATGTCAAGTCACTAATTGGCTTTTTGGCGTTGGTAACAGGCAACCCACATGTTCTACGATGTGTGTAATACTCGATGTTATATTATGAATTCAAGGTCATGTCGTCCCTTTAGATTTGGTGTGTGTTGAGCTAATAAACGCTTTGGAGACTTAGGATTGGTACTTGTATTTTTGTTAATATAATATATATAGCTATAATACATGTATAGCTATAATATAATGTAATGTCCCAAAGGAATAGGCAGAGGTGAACATTTAAAAATCATATACTAAAAATTCGTTATTAGGTATAATACGAGTCCCATGTGAACTTAAAAATTTACGTGCTAGTAAGTTTATTGCCATACACTGTGGAAAACAATGTAAAATTCCAATAATACTTACCACCTATTAGATCTTAAAAAACCAACTACAGAACCCACGTTTGGTCATAGTAGATACCTGGTATATGCGAACACCACTCCACGCAGTCAAGAATTACCTGCAAGCTAGCGTCATTTCGCAAGCGGCCATCAGGTCCTACGTTACTCTTTAACATACTTATAAAACTTATACCTACTATTTACACACGCTTATATAGCACAGAATCCTGTTTAATTTATCTAAGGTAAACACATAGTAGAGAATCGGCAGCATCTTCTTAAGAATAAATATGTATATATCTATCTCTTGCCAAAACAGATGCATTTTACATCGGAATTACCTCGAACCGACTTCAATCGTAGTCAACGCTGTATTATTTATAAAACGCATTGCGTGCCTCCCTAGAGACTCGTGGTGACCACAAAATACGTATTTTGGATTTTCTTTGCACGATCACAAGGAAATCCGGAGCTTTGGTAATTATAAATGTTCTTATATGGAAGTGTTTTAGTCTTTTTTATGAGTTCCTAGTAGTATTTTATTGTTCATCGGTTATAATGAATTGAATTTAATAATAACAGTTCAGTGCAAGAAGATATATGTAGATATAAGCCACCGCTATATCTGTCTGGGACTGTTTTTCTATGTCCATTTAAATCTTCTCACTTGGCCGGCAGCTGGAAATTATAGTTAAAAAGATTCAAGTACGTCAAAGACTGTTGCTATGAATGTGTAGTTCTTTGGTTTGCTGTTACGGCACTTACAATGTCAAGTGCCGCTGGAAGACAAGATGACTAAGTTAAAAGTCTGTTTTCTCACCCCCTATTACATGGGACTCATAACATAAATAGTGAAAAGTGGGTGTTACATTGTACAGCGGCATTAAGTGCCGAAATGTGCACCTCTGCCTACCCCTTCGGGGATAAAAAGGCGCGATGTTATGTTATATTATATTATAACCATCACATCACATTACATCAACAGCTTATAAGAGCCCATAGCTGAGCAATGGCCTCTTCTCATACGAAGAAAGAACCACACGGCCTAAATCCACCTTCAATATAAGCTACAATACGCTCATCCCTGACCCATTCAAGAACCAAATACAAAAAGCGAATATCTATATTTAGCCTCAGAATACTAAATTTAAACAGTATGGCATTTAATTTTGGCTCGCAATGGCGGATACCTGACAAGTCTGGCGCCACTCTGGCAATTTTGAATTGGTGCCAACGCTAGACTACAATACGCATGTATTCTTTCAATGACCGACTTTGTAATCAATGCTAGGTCTTGCAGATACGCTGAGGCTGAAACTATTATTTATAGTGAGCATTTATCTAGAGTTACGTAGTAGTATGCGGATGGCAATGGAAGAATAAATGCTTTATATAAAATGGCAAAAATATATCCACTAGTAACTATACTCGGAATTTTAATTCGATTCCAGATTTGACAATTTCAGTGTTGCAACGTTATGACAAGTACTAAATAGTGACGTTGCGAAATTATTCGATATGGAAATGCTATATTTCTCGATCGATTCTTCTCGTTTATAATTTTACTCTCGTAAACTAAGGATATCAGGAAATTAAATATTTCTGACCGATAATTTAGTTTTGACGATTACTTAACGATCAGAGACTTTTCTTTTATAATTGTGTGTGAAATAACTAACAAAATGTAATCATGAAGGAAAATGACAAATGAAACAGATAGATGTATTATGGTAATAAGTTATTTTATAAATTGTCGTCGTCATCGCTATCGCTATCCTGTCCCTTTCTGTAACATTTATTATAAAACATACACACTGATTGTTTATCGATTTTTGTGTTCATCACTACACTATTATATGTGGTATCATTATTTCACAAAATGACAGTAGCTATTGTCAAATCTGGAATCTAATTAAAATTCTGACTATAGTCCCATAGACTTGTAACATTAAACAAACAAGAATGAACATAAGCAAAATAATCCGAACAGAAGCTACTTATGAATATTTCCACCTAACCTCGCGTAATAAAATATTAAGTTGTACCTAATTAAACATGAATGAGGCCTTACCTTGCTTAATCTGCAGACAGACAGAACCGCGTTGAATCAATAAGTATTCCGCTTTATGATTCTGTACGGAACCCTATAAACGTTATACTCAATTCAACGGAAAACATTTCGGCCCTCTAATGTATACACGCTCCCTTTTTTCTCACACTCCAAGCGTTCTTATTCGACATTTTTCTTTCCCTTACTTCTGTACTGGCATTTTATTTTTATAGCAAAGTCTTGGAATATTTCCCGTCGGCTCGCTCCGGTGTGATACCAAAACTTCCCAAATACTTGTCACTGTCAACGTAATCAATAGTTTTGTAAAATATAGACGTAAATATTTACAAAGATTTATTCGGAAGTAAATAAAAAGTACAATCACTCCCTGGTAGCATTGTTCGCCTCTAAGAGACTTGAAATTGTGCTCTTCTGGTGTGGTAATTCCATGTTCTTAATTATAATCTTCAGTTGTTCTCTAAGTTCGTTTGTAAATAAAACAGTTTCGTAGGATATTGACCTCTTGACTCTCAGTAGATTGGGTAAGATATTTTCATTAAATAATTGTTTGTCTCTTGTTCCTAGCATATCTTGTTTATCGGAGACAAGAGTTAGACTTGCGGTGTAGGAAAGCAGAGCTCTCACTCCATAGATCACGACGACAAGGAATAAAGAGAAACCAGCTGTGATGTAGTTTTTCTCGACGTTGTGAAGCAGGGTCATCTTATCATATTCGTGTAAATTGACGCAGAAAATCAACTTGTGAATACTTTGGAGAGGAAGATACATTCCAAGATATAAAACTGATGTAAAGTAAAATGCAATGAAGAATAGATATGTACGTCTGTAGCACTTTGTTAGGTTATTAATAAACTGCGTTAGCTTCATGACGTCGTAGATAGGGTTCAGCATGATTAAAACTATGGCCATTTGTATTAAGAGTAGGCACGTCAAAATCATGCAGCTGGCGTCCATCGTGTTGATCTTAGTTTGTTGTATCGTAAGGCAACCTTTCTATGGCATTTTTGTGGAAACCAGTTTTATTTTAATTCACTTTTCTCTTTTTTGGGGCATTTCTATAACACTTTATTTGTGACATTCTATTGACAAGTTCATGACAAGCATTCGTTTTGTGAATTTGTAAATTTTATTCTTTTTTGGCGTTAGCCTGTCTATCTATCTGGAATGGAACTTTTTCAACGAATAAATCCTGTATGGTGCTTAAATGTTCCTATTTCCCGGTCCGTCGATTTTGTTGATTGGTCCAGTAGTGACGATATAAACTCATTTCTAACTTATTCTGCTGCTTTTGGCCTGTGTGCATCTGATACCACCTCTTTTTGTTTTGCCTCGCGTATATTAATTGTTGGTTCTTGAATAGAAACATAACTCTCAACTGTAAGGTTAGACACTTGTGTGGCATCATCTCTAGTCAAAACAGCATGTCTACACATAAGCTCAAATTCCAGTAATCGAGCAATCCTTACCGAGAAATGTATTAGCCATTCAATTAGGAAGAATAGATAGGCTTGCATGAGAAAACAAGTATAACACAATGATAGTCTGCTGGTGTAGAATTCTAAAATAAGACTGGTGCTCTCTACATGTTCAAGAAGTTTTTTATGGCCTTGACTTTCTACAGAGATTTCCATTAACGTATTGATAAATAATGCAAACAAAAGTAGAGCAACAAAGTCCGGCGGCTGATGACACTTCTCATTGTACTTGCACCAAGCGTCTCTAACATAGTATGGCTGTTGAAAAGGCTTTATCAGGGCCATCACCAATACTAGTTCTATAAATAGTGAAGTACCTAAAAATAAACTAAATACATTTATCATTTTGTTGCGGTGGTTCTTTCTTTGCTTCTTCAATTTCTGATATTTGTACTGGTGGATCTTTTTTTGCTTCTTCAATTTCTGATAATTGTACTGGTGGTTCTTTTTTTGCTTCTTCAATTTCTGATATTTGTACTAGTGGATCTTTTTTTCCTTCTTTAATTTCTGATAATTGTACTGGTAGTTCTTTTTTTGCTTCTTCAATTTCTGATAATTGTACTGAGTCCCTGAGAATTGCAAAGTTTTCTACATCACAGTCCGGTGGAGGTATAATGTCCTCTATCCTGTCCTGTAATTCTGATCTGTCAGGTATTAGTATCACAGAGTCATGACGTATAATAGTACAAGCACGAGGTGTTTCTTCCAAAAACGATTTTAATCTTAATGTTTCTTTTTCACTCAAATGTACTACTAATGGCCAATTAAAGGGCTCAACATCGTCTTCTTCAATATCGTCTTCCAATATTCCTATGACAGGAGAATCTTCATCTTGATTTTGAGAATATGAAATATCAACCAAATTGTAGTGTGCCATCAAATCAGAGAACTCGTGTAGTCTGGCTGAAAATAGTATTAATTCAGATAGTCTCCATATAACCAACAGGAAGAATAATGAAAACGATGCGAGCAAATAATTTCTTGTTGCATTTGTCAATTTTATAATACGTTGTAATTGTTCCACGGGAGTTTCTACGGGCCTAATCTTTTTTGGAATATTTAGTGTACTCAGTGTTTGCAATGGCCCATAAATTCCAAATAGTCCCACCAGAAGAAGATACAAACCCATCGAAGAAAGAGTAATATTATGAAAAACTAAATGTTCATTGAAGTATCTTATACATTTAGCTTGTGTAACCACGTCACAAAGAGGTAACAATAGGCATGCAATTAAACCCATTTGTACTATGTTAGTTACAAAGAGTAGTACCGTTGAACTATCAATGAATGAATGCATTTTGCTGTAGAATTTATCCCATGTTTATAATCCAAATATTATTGTCAGTGTGGCTGTGACATGTGTGACATATAAACGCATAGATTAAATAACAATTGTAGATATTAAAACGAAGTCTTCAATATTCATCGATATATTCCTTTTTGCTGCTATCGAGGGAAACAAAAATCCCTTTACGATCGTTTCCTTGAGGCATATGAACGCAAATTGCGTCACCTACTTCCCCATGATTGAATTCGTTATCAAACGCCGCCTCACAATGGCGTATCGAAATCGAAACTTGTAACAGAGGCCTATTTACGTATGTAGGTACCTATGAAACAAAATAACGGGACGGTGTGTGTGGCATATATTTGGATGTGGAACAGATGTTGCGCCAGACTCCTGCTTCAACACGCACAGCACCCACGCTACCTGTAAGCACACGTACGGCGGCCATTAGTGTGACAGAGAAGGCTGTATGGGTGTCTCTCTCGCTCGGTTTCTGCACGTGGTGGCCCCCTTACAGGTGGCAACCCACCTTCCTTTATCACGACCATTACCTATGTCGATTCAATTATGCTGAACTGTTGACTTTGCGGACACCGATATTTTCAACGGCTGCGGTTGTGTAACAAGCTCTCGCTGAGGAACCCAATCTGGTCTCGATACAATCTTTTAATTAATTACTGACTTGATACGTTGTAATAACTTTAATATGTACTCACATTAATTTTATATTGTTCGTTCTTCATACAAGATCGACTGGTACAGTAATAATTTCCTAATAATCATGTAATAATAATAATGTCTTGCAATTTATCATACTTTGAAAATAGCTCAATATTATTTTCTGTTTTTGTTGGTAAAACTTGCACTGTTTTAAAAAAATAATGTCTTTAGAAGCATTTAGTTTGTTATAACATTTTTAATAATGAAAATTGAATAAGAGCAGTATAGTAACATGTAACGCATTTTTCAAACAAAATGATTTAGGTACGTCGAATGAATTGCAAAAGAAAATTACTTGTTAGAACAATTTGGATTTTATTGTTACAAATGTAACAAATACATCATACTGCTCGATAGTAGAGTATATTTTGTCCAATTAGTCCCTTAACAATTAATTGTTCTCAAAATAAAATAATATAATCCTAACACCTAACAGTCACAAAAAAAAACATTAGTTATAATAACGACATAATTTAAGAAAATACACGACAAAATTCTAAAGCAGAATGTGTCTCGCGTAGCATTAATTAATTTTCTCTCATGTCGGATTCCTTTCAAAGGCGAGCGTCTCGAATGTGTAATAAAGCAAGTCTTGCAACACGTGTGCACGCATCAACATGTTATTATCTCGCGAGACGCAGCGGCGCGGTGTATCCCAGCCTTATATAGCTATCCTTGCCTGCCAATTCTATGACGTGATATCACATATTTTCTTTTCACGTAAGGACCATTTTCGCGTGCTTTCTGCTCGTTAGCTGCCTGTTAAGTTGCTGACGTGAAAATAGTAATATATTTTTTGAATTTGCAATTCTTGGTAGAAAATGGTTTTATTAGGATGTTTTGTTTTGAATATTAAAGTTTCGATTATATTTAAAATTTTAAGGATGTTCATCAAACATCTGTAAGATAATACGGTGTATCGACTGTGACAGTAAAGTATAATATAATGACAAATAAAAGTAATCATAATATTTGTTAAAATCGTTATTTATCGGAATTTAGAAATCACCCCCCCCTAAAATTATTTTTGGGCATCTCATCCAAAAACCGCAAAAAATATCCATCTCACCAAAAAAAGTACTAGGCGCACATAACACAAACAGAGCTAAACGAATTCAAAAATCACAAGACGAGTCACTGACCTCGACTGGTACGCACACACATAAGTTAATATTTAACACCATGGCATACATAACTAAGTAGCCCATTCATTTGTTTCAGGTAAGTTGGACCTACATCAAAACGGGCTTGTGGACGTTCGTTTTTATTTACTGCCATTATTTGCGTAATAAGATCTTTTGCAAGCTGTGACCTCTTTGATCAGGGTGTAGACATCGGATTCCGTAGGTTTGTGATTGTCAGACAGAAGTAAGTGTTTGTATTATTGTTAAAGGCTTGTTAGTCAAACGTTAAATTGATATTATGATGATTTGTTAAAACAAATAGATTCAGTAAGGGACAGACTGATAGACTGACCTAGAGTCAAAATTGTTTCATGATTTTTTGGGTGCCAATCTTTTGAGATTGGTGTTCAGTTTTTGACACAATGCAACAATAAGTGTCTAAGATCTCATATTATTACGAATGACTTATCAAAACAGGTTGTTATCGGAAACAACTGCTAGTTTTCCATGAGACATTGTAGATGTTATGAAACTTTGAGCCAAACAAATACTAAACTTGTTCCAAAGATACTTTGGACAGCTATGTTTTTCTAGATTTTTCCAGTATCTTCTATTATATTTTGTTAGTAACTCGATAAAATGAAGGCAAGTTGTAGTAAGTTCATGTTGGTTGTTCAATTGTGTAGTTATGAATTTGGAGAACGTGATTTCAGATTTAGTTAAGGAAGTTTGAAGTTGTATGATTAAAAATTATGTTTTGTGAAGATTGTTAGTTACACCTACGAGAGCTACGAGATAGGTATTATCTCGTAGGTTGTCTCGTCGGTCTTAACCGGTCGTAGTCGATTCTCCAAGAAAGTACTTTCAGATTCCCACTATCAACATTCTTGATACTAACAGTCCGAATAAACGTGTCAATAGGCATTGAATGGCTAGAATATTGCTTGCTATTGCTATTCCTATGCATATTGGGTGAATACCTTCACCTTACATCTATTATATTATTGTCAATAATTGGACTTGCAAGAATTTTCTTTTTTATAGATAGTATGATTGGGGATTCAGGGATTGGGGGAGGGTAGGGCCTCCGGTAACCTCACTCACGCTACAAAATACACCGCAAGCGTTGTTTCACGTCGATTTTCTGTGAAGCTGTGGTATCACTCCGGTCGAGTCGGCCCATTCGTGCCGAAGCATGGCTCTCCCACACTTAAATTAAAAATTATAATAATGATAAAAACGATTATCTGTTGTTAGAATAAAAAAACTGTAGTAACAATCAGTAGCTATTATAAAACACTAGAGAAAAGATAAAAGCATAAAATCGCTAGCAATTTTCAAGCCCGTAATATTTTACAGCGCATGAACTGAAGAAAAAATGTAAAATGAGCGAAAGATATTATTAGACAATTTCATTTTCTTGAGTCCAGTATTCCAGAAATTAGAGGTCATATGGATTTTTGGCTGTAAAGTTGAATAAAGGAATCCGATCAATTTTGAGGTCTCCGATAAAGTAATATTTGTGTTCATTCTCAAAGAAGTTTTAATGAGATTTGTTGTAAATTATCCATGATTTTTTTATATTTTTTGGTCTAGTTTGGCACTTCATATTTTGGAAATTTAATGATGTAGCAAAGTTTTTATGTTCTAAGTCGGAGTTACAAAATTTTCTTGAAATAGTTATGACAACTTTGGGCTACATAAATGTTATTAATAAGGTAAGAAAATACATTCCTTACTTTAATGTATTTTATAATAATGTTCTTTTTATATTTAATTGTATGTATAAATTCTATTTTCCAAAACGACACAAAAAAAAGAAATATTTTTCGATTTGCTAATCGATACACACTTACAGACTATCCACCTCTTTATTAACCTTTCGTGTGTCTAAGACGTAG